TTGTCATCGTAAAAGGGATGATGTATTTATTTTCGTTTTGTAAGGATGAACAGTTTAGGGATATGCCTACATAGCTGCATCATTAAAAAGTGACTACTACTTAATGATCACCTTTGAGCATCCTCATTGTTTCCACGACCTGAACGATTCTCCTTTTTTCAATTTCGTAGGGATGGGGGTACTATTTGACATGATGCTTTTTCTCTATCCGATAGCGAAAATCAGACCTGAAAAAAATCAGGCCTGTACGGGATTCGAACCACTGACCTCTGCGATACTAGTGCAGCGCTCTACCAATTGAGCTAACAAGCCAACTGGGAGCAGGTCTGATTTTTTGCAAGAGAAAAACATACTAAGTTATTCTGCAACTATCTGATCAAAAATTACGATATGTATCACTATGAATGGAACTCGGATTTTGTCTCAATTGCAAACTGTGTACTTTACCCAATCAAGTAATATACAAGTGTACTTCTAGGTCGCCTTTATTTACCCTTTCTCTCCCAATATGTAAGGTTTTATATTCTGCAATGTCGGACATACATATCGTACTTTTTCAGGTCTGAAAATTTGATGTTAAATCATGCAGTATCCCCCAAAACACAAAGAAGAAACACATCAGTGGGGATGATACGCAGATGAAGAACTTTAATATAATGAAGACTGAGAAAGAAGTGAGTAAGATCCTGTGACCGTTACGCAGTCGTAGGCTTAGAGTTCGACGTATTAAAAAATTTGCGTGACAACTATTGAGTGATAAACGTTTGTTTATATATATCTTTGTATCTGTATCAAGTCACGCTTTATGAGGATTCGAAATAGAGTAAAGATCAAATGGTTCGACACATTTGAGATATTTAGAGATCTTAGTGATATTAAAATGCTGTGGAGGAGAATTTTAAGAGTAACGGTCTTTGCCAGTACCTTATGTATGTCAGGTGAGTCCCGTTTGAGAGATTTCGCTGCGACATTAAAAGTGTAAGTATGCAATGAATATGTCGCTTGGAGTGGTACTTAGACATACTTTTTAAACGATTACCAGTTTGTGTTTCAAGAATTTTGTTCTCTTTTTTAGTCCGACAGGTTTACTCGATATAAGAATGTAAAAGCGTAAATCTCTAATTCCTTCCCAGTTACCCACTAGAGAAGGTAACATTCGGCTGAAATAGATAGTCACCATTCCCGAATAGACCTTACGACAATGTAATTTGAGTGTAGGTATTACATAGTTTCATTAGGATTACAGTATTAACGCAGCCATGAAATTGCCTTTTTTACTCTCGCACAGCCAAAACGAAATGCTGAGATAGGTGAAACGTTTAAGCATTCGCTGTGCCTTTTTCATGTTACGTGAAATCCTGTTATTCAATGAGTTATGATGTAACGTTATTCATAATACTCCGTTTACCACTCAGGTGATCAAAGGTTCAAAATATTTGAAGGAGCGGAAGAAGCGGATGTCAGACGTAAAAGAATTCGGAAATAAAAATTGGATAGTTACCAAGGGTGAACCTGCGTTTCAGGGTGGCATCTCAAATCGAGTTGTCAAGTTTTATTAACAATTAATTTATCTTTAGAATCTGTTTTGTGGCCTGCTGGATCATATGGAATACCCAAACCTGTGTCTGGTTGTCCTCTGACTACTGGCTTTCAGTGGGAGAAAGGATGGCGGGCTCACGACACAAATGGTGTATCCTCAAACAATTCCAGATCCCATGACTTCCACCTCGATGCAAAGGTAGATGAAAGCAAAGTCCAAAGATCATTCTGTATAAAAACATCCACGATTGACGACCATAACAGACCAAATTGGCCACAAGGTAATGTCGAAGAGTCATTTCCTTGCCTGAGGAGGTCTTACTGAGATTCTATAGATCTAACTTGCTGGCACAATACACTTCTCTCTGTTCAATGCTATGAATAACCCCACTTGTCTTTGACTTGCAAGGACGAAAAGAATGCAAAGATAAGAAAACTTTATCTGCAACTCGTTCCAAAGCTTACAAAGTGCGATATTCATTTATCTAACCTTCCTGATTCTAACACAGATCCGCCGAGAGGATACTGCGCATTTAGAAACGGCGGGGAAGCGTGCTCTTTACAAATTAGTTAGGTAGATTAGACGAAGAGCCTGCTTTTGAAGAATAAGGGTTTTCTTTAAATTTGTTTTGAGGTATGGCCCCAGAAAACTAGGCCGTTAAGAGAAGGTCTTAATCATGTCATATTTCCTTTCGTTTTACTGATTTTTGAATGTGTTGTATAATATACAGGGTTTTTCCATTACCGCTACTATTGGATGTTCGCCTACAAAAGAAAATAGGTTCAGAAGGATAATCCAAATTGTTGACGTCATATTTGTAAAGCCCAAACTAACACTAGAAATAAAAACCTGAAATTCGATCAGACGTGCTCGCGACGGCCAGCAATAAGAAATTTACAGCTATAAAAAAGAGGGACACAAAAAGGGAGGTCTGTTAATGTACATAGTCTACGACATGATGTTGGTCTTCAAACATAAAACCAATATCTGGTTGTCATTCATCCCTACAGGACGATATTGTATCTACAAAAAGGGAACCTGCCCAGCAAATTTCAAGGAAGGCTATGTTTACTGGGATGATGACGACAGTAACAAAAATAAGAATAAACGTAGTGGAACACTTCCTGACGGAACGTTCAACGAGAACACAAGAATCGAGTTTTGCTGCAGAAGCGACGGGGAAAAAGATACTCCTATTCTCCTTCCCTCTGATTCTCCATTTTTCCTGCTGGCTTACAAATCAGACAAATGTCAGATGGTCAAATGGGCGATAGCAAGAGCAGAGTGGATTTATTATGATACTCAAAACAACAACAACATGGATGGAAGGGGCGGCGGATTCCCTTATGATGCCCGTGAACGTGAACAGCATCAAAAGATATATTACTGTTACTACACTGGCAAGTGTAAAGTTACTTGCACGTTTCATAATTTTATGAGGTTATATGCATAAATGAATTAGGGCTCGTGATCGTAAGTATTTGCTGTCAGCACGAGTAAACTTCCGTCTTCTGAAATTGATAAAAAAAAAATCCATCGTTGAATGTGGCATTTGGTCTGAAAGCAGGGGCCGGATACTGTGATCCGAAAGGTCTCAGCAGTTGCTAAAGGCCTCACCAACCAAAAGTCGCAATACTTTCCAGTGGCCTCTTCGGCTTCATTTTTTGACTATGCCCAAGTATACAGTGGCAACAGTAATATTTTGACACCTGACACAGAGTGATCAAGTGAACTGACGTTCAAAACTAGTGCAGGTGCTTCGTTAAGACCATCCCCATGATCATTTTCTTCGTCATCATCATCAACAAAAGATTCAACTTCAATTTAATAAATACTTGTATATGCATAACACCGGTTGAAGTTAAATTTGCACATACGTATAAAATTATGTGCATAAAGTGACTAAGTTTCTAAAGTTGTTGGTCGTCATTCGCTTTAGGAAGGGCTAACGCCCGAAACGTCAGCTTTAGAAACTCTTTACAGTGACCAATTTACATACGATCAACTTAGCTAATAAAACCAAATTATCCTATGAAATTATGGGTATATCAAATTATGTACATGACATATATCTTTTCTCAGGATGTAATAGAACACTAACAACAGCCAATGGTAGTTTCCACTCTCCGAATTATCCAGGAAAGTACCCGAATGGTCAACACTGCTCGTGGACGATCACAGTTAACACAACGCGACAGATCGTATTGGTTTTTACTGAATTTAGACTGCAAAACGAGATTGGCACTGACGAACTATACGTTTATGATGGATCTGATTCAAAAGGAGTGGTGTTAGGAGTCTTTTACGGAGGTCACCCTCCCCCAGAAAAAGGAATATACTCTTCATCTAACCACATCTTTATAATATTCAAGTCAGACAAAGATAACTCTTTCACTGGCTTTAAAGCGTCTTACTTTGGTGTCAATATTTCAGGTAAGTATTGTTTCTTGTCTTTTCATCTGTTCCTAGAATTTATGTATAGTAGAGATTTGGTAAAGCAGGAAGCAGGGTCCAACGGTTCAAGTAAATTTCTGAGGAATGTGTAGATATTAAATAAACGAGGTATTAGCTATATTTATACCTATACAGTCATACATTGTATAAGCTCAAAGATTAAATTAGATAAAGCAAGTCATTTAACGAATGAATTAAAATCTTCATCTTCAAAAAGCGTCAACAAGATCACCAGACAGGACGACACCAAGTGAGATTCCTTCATCTAGAGCAGATGATCCGAATAGTAGAGGGAAGGGTGAACCTGAAGAAAGAGGTAACAAGATGATTGTGGTTCTTCTTCTCAGAATACAATGAGCGGTCAATTGTCAAACGTCCAAAATTAAATCCCCTTAAACTTTGTAATTTTCACCTCTAGTAAAGATCGTCTCTATTTAGCGGTCGTGGTCACCCCTTACTATGTATTTCACCTGTATTGAGCTATCGCTTAAAGCTGAACCACTCAAAGGAAACTAAGAACAAGCTTTTAAGTATATTTAACACATTTTTATTCCAATGTAGAAGTTTTAGTTTCTTCTACATCATTACATTTGGCTCACTTGTGTATGTGACTGATTAACTCTTAGTAGGTGTGACTGTGGTATATGTGGTCGTTCCATTGGTGCTGATCGCCCTTTTAGCATTCGTGTTCGTTGGAGTGGTGTTTTACCGCAAGAGGTTACAGCATTCTGTTTAACTCACGGATCGATCATCTAGATCATTAGGCAAGGCGAAAATTCAATTTGAATGACGTTATCACATTCAGAGTGTATACAACAACCCTCATAATAAGGGTTTGTCATCTTTGATCTTCATCTTCCCTGAAGTAAGCTCTGATCATGTAATGGAGATTAAAGTTCCTTCTTAGAAAAGAACTTAGACAACTTTTTTTCATTAACTGCACCAGATCTACCTCAAGTCATTAACATTTATCTTCAATTTAAGTCATCCTTGGGTGGACAATCTTCAAGTTTCTGTTTCGCGGTATCAAAGGGAAACAATACCGTTGCAGGAATGAGTAGCAAAATAAAATGATATGGATTCGTTATATATAGTGAGCTTTGTAGTTAAACTTTGAAAGTTTTATAACTATGATGTTAAGTTATTTCTTAACAAAATCAATAATAATCTTTTCTTTTTAATTTTCCCAGCTCAACCTGACGAAGAATAAGACGTGATGAGGTGAATTATTTTAGCTGCCTCTTTCACCTATTTCAATCAAACTAGCGAGCAGTTTTGCAGTTGGTACAAAACTTACTTTAAAAGATCTCCGGTTGATAACTTATAAAAGATATTACGTGCGATCTCGAGCATTATTTCAATGATAGATTTAGTCAGCAGTCTATTTGGTCTAATTAAGGGAGGGGAGAGCTTGCTACATGAGCTCGAGATCCTATCACTAGCCTTAACCCTGAGCCGTCCTGTTTGATTTGGGATTATAGATCAGAATTTCAAGATGGAAGCCAATAATTTTACAAAAAAAGAAAGGAACGAAAACTATTTAGTGTAATGTAGAGCAGATTTTGAAGCACAACTGAACCGCTTAAAGACGATAGATCAAATAAGATCAAGTAAGGTTTTAATTCGTGGTACAAACGTACAACGACTACGTAAAGCACACCTCATTAGCCTTTCGTGCAGGTGGACTTATCACCCAGCAGGCTTACAAAAACATATGAATAAAGGCTGATAGTTTCTAAAGAAACTGTTTGGGGCTGCGTCGGTGGGGGTAACGAAATAATTTGGATATATCAACAAAGTCGAAGTGGTAAATTGGCCACCGTAACGATTACAAAAGCTGACGTTTCGAGCGTTAGCCCTTCGTCGGAGTGAAAAGAGGAAAAACATGCACCAGGGGTGGATCCAGGAATTTTTGATAGAAGGGGGAATCCGATATTTTATTCAGGAAACATAGAAATGTTTATCTACAGTGGCACCTTAATAAGCTGCGATATTTTTTAAAGACAATTAAATTAACTCAAACATTTGATATTGATTGACAACCTGCAATCCTGTAGTTGATTGTATTTTTGGTGTCAGATGAATGGTAAAAATCCAAAGTTTACCCTCTTCCCTTCCCCCAACTCGACCTTTTATCTTGTGCACAGACTCATTGTGTCACTCAGCTAATTCTGAAAAGTATGCACAGGAAATCATTTCAAGTTGTTAAAGTGTTGTAATGTTAGTATTTTTATATTATTAACGAAATAGGTAATAAAATAGAGAAGGACAAGTGTGGTTCTAAGTGGCCGTTATTTTGTATTATTGCCGTATTTTGACTTTCCTATTGGAACTATTAGCCCAGTTTGAAGTAATCCTGACTTAAACTACTCTTACTTTACTGCAAAATCCTTCCCTAAATATCAGTTGTGAAGGACCATGTTCGTCCTGGTTTTCAGTGACTATTATACTCGTGCATGCCTCACGACTGTACATGGGAAAAAAAAATACACAAACTAAAAGCAGAAAAGACGAACTCTTGACGTAAAAAAAACCAGCGCTATAATAACAACATAACCTGAGCCCAAAATAATAGCCCAAACGATCAAGGTTCGTAATGGTTATTCCTTGAACCAATTTCTTTAACAAACGGTAAACACCACAGCGTACACTATTGAGTTATGGATGCACTTGGGAGGTTTGCTAAGCACTCAAGAAGCTAGAGTCGCTCGAGGCTATCGCCTCGAGCGACTCTTACGCTTCTGTCGTGAATGTCGGTGATGTAATTGCGGTACGTTTCATGCACCCCATCATTTGTATCCGGCAACAATGGAAAGGTTCAAGACCTGAAGAAGCTAGAGTCGCTCTCGGCTATCGCCTCGAGCGACTCTTACGCTTCTTTCGTGCTTAGCAACCTCCCGCGTGCATCCATAACTCAATAGTGTACGCTGTGGTGTTTACCATTTGTTTTATA